GTCTGGAGAAAAAAAAATTTTACATTGCAACCTAGCAAATACATAAATACACTTATGTATTTATGAAATAGTACTTATTCTAAGTGTATGATCATTTCATATAAACACAGTCATATGAAAATCTTGGGTATCTGGTATCTGCCCCTCTATTAGCAGAATATTTTCAAAGTTCTTTTTTTTTTGGGGGGGGGGTCCGGTCGAGGGGCCTGAACTCTGGGCCTGGGCGCTGTCCCTCAGCTCTTCAGCTCAAGGCTAGCGCTCTACCACTTGAGCCACAGCGCCACTTCCGGCTTTTCTCTTTTTGCTTATGTGGTGCTGAGGAATCGAACCCAGGGCCTCAAGCATGCAAGGCAAGCGCTCTACCACTGAGCCACCTTCCCAGCCCCATTTTCAAAGTTCTTATATGTTGTAGCATTATCGATATTTTATTTTCTTGGCAGAATAGTAATCCAATGTATGGATATACCACATTTGTTTATTCATTTATCAGTTGGTAGATATTTGAATTATTTACACTTTTTTGTTTTATTTATTTATTTATTTTTTGGTCGGTTGTGGGGCTTGAACTCTGGGCCTGAGTGCTGTCCCTCAGCTCTTCAGCTCAAGGCGAGCGCTCTACCACTTGAGCTATAGCGCCACTTCCGGTTTTCTGGTGGTTTATTGGAGATAGGAGTCTCACATTCTCTCCTGCCTGGGCTGGCTTTGAACCTCGATCCTCAGATCTCAGCCTCCTGAGTAGCTAGGATTACAGGCATGAGCCACCAGCGCCCGGCAGTTTTACTATTTTATATCATGTCTATAGGACATCCATGCATTAGCTTTTGTGCAGATATGTTTTCATTTCTTAGGTATATACCTAGTAATGGATTTGTTGGGTCAAATTGTAATTCTATGTTTAACTTTTTGAAGAACTGCTAGACAGTTTTACAAAGCAGTTCTACAATTTTATATTCCCAGGTGAATTTAATAATTCAAATAGTTCAAATTTCTCCACTGCCTCCATGACACTTATAATTTGTCTGCCTGCCTGCCTTCCTTCCTGCCTGCCTGCCTTCCTTCCTTCCTTCCTTCCTTCCTTCCTTCCATCCTTCCGTTCTTCCTTTCTTCTTTCCATCCCACATTTATGGCAGTGCTGTGAATGATACCCAAGGTCTCTGAATGCTATGCAAGTATGTGGTTTTTTAAATCATCTACATCTCTGTCCTTTATCTGGCACTTTTATTAAAGCCATTTGAGAGTGTGTAAATAATAGTCACATTATAGTATGCTGTGGTAAATATCCTTCATTTGTATTTTCTGTGATAACTAACCATATTGAATATTTCTCCATATGCTCAACTGATCCTTTCTTTGGCTAAAAGTCTATTCAGATCTTTTGAAAATTTTGAAATTGTATTACTTGTTTTATAAATGGACTTTGCACATTTTAGAAACAAGTCTCATATCAGATACACTATTTGCAAATATTTCTCCCACTCTTTGGGTTTACCTTTCACAGTCATGATAGTGCTCTTTGAAATACTAAAGTTTAACATTTAAAAAGTCCCATTTAGCGGTTTTTTGTTTTGTTCTCTTTTTTGGTGCCAGTACTTGGGCTTGAATTCAGGATTTGTGGTGTAGCTTTTTCTGCTCAAGACTGTTGCTCTACCACTTGCACCACAGCTCCACTTCTGGCATTTTGCTAACTGGAAAAGTATGAGTCTCATCTACTTGGAGTCTTATCTAACTGGAGAGATAAGAAATAAAGCTGGCTACATTAAACTGATCTTCAGATCTCAGTCTCTTGAGTAGCTAGGATTACAAGCATTAACCACTGATGCCCAGTGAGTTTGTGTACATTTTTCTTTGATTGCTTGTGCTTTCATATCATGTTTAAGAAACCAAGTCCAAGGTCATAAAGTTTTTCCCCAGTAGCTCTGTTTGCATAATTTGACCAAAAGACCACTATCACATTTAAACAATTAATAATTTCTTAACATCATTAAATATGGGTTAAAATACATTTTTTCATCTATAGACATGATTTCTTTTTTGGGGGGGGGGTCCAGTCGTGGGGCCTGAACTCTTGGCCTGGGCGCTGTCCCTCAGCTCTTCAGCTCAAGGCTAGTGCTCTACCACTTGAGCCACAGCGCCACTTCCGGCTTTTTTTCTTTTTGCTTATATGGTGCTGAGGAATTGAACCCAGGGCCTCATGCATGCAAGGCAAGCACTCTACCACTGAGCCACGTTCCCAGCCCTATAGACATGATTTCTGATAGACTTTTATAAGTACTCAAAATAGATTCCAAAATCTCTTCATTCTTATAAGGATCTTTGGAAATTCATGAATACAATTGGATCTGAAGATTTCTAAGCTATCACAGAGGAGGAAAAGTTCCAGTTGCCTCCAAATAATTATCATTATGGCCATGCTCTCGTGGCCTGTAATTCTAGCTGAGAATTCAGGAGGCTGAGATCTGAAGATCACTGTTGGAAGCAAGCTTGGACAGGGGAGTCTAAGAGACTTTTATCTCTAGTTAACCAGCAAAATGCTGGAAGTGGAGTTATGGTTCAAGTGATAGAGTGCCAGCCTTAAGTGAAGAAGCTAAGTAAGAATGTGAAACTCTTGAGTTCAAGCCCCAGTACTGGTATAAAAACAAAAGCTCCAAAATATTGTTTCAAATCTTAAGTACTTTTTCCATAACATGTTCCCTGGGTTTTAAAACATGTAAAAATATTTCTTTATTTAGATAAACTTCTTAAAATATAAGGTCAGGCTAGGAAGCAGCAAGGCATGTTTTCTTCTGTCAGTTGTAAACTAGATTAGGAGGTGACTCCCAGAATAATATTATCATTTCAGGTTACACTTAGGTTAATCTATTGAACTAGGAGTCAAGGGATCTGGTTGTAGTTTCCATCTTGTATGGTGTGATCTTGAGTAAGTCTGTCAACTTCTGTGTATCAGGAAGTCCCATCACAGAATTCAAGACATCTTAAATATTTTCTTTTCAACATTTTGTTGTTAATGCCTTGCAATTAGAATAACAACTTTAGGCTGTTTGGAATCTAGGACTTTGGAACCTGTATCCAATGTACAGCACTTTTAAAATTTCTACCATTTATGAGTCTGATTCATATAATCACACACTTATTATCACCCCATGTTTGTTTGTACATTAAAATGTCTTTTTCTATTTGGTAGCCTTTTCATTATTAATAATTACAAAGGTCCTTCTAGAATGTATTTTTTATTCTTTATTTTTCTTCCATTTCCTTTCTTAATTTCTCTAAGATCTTTTCTACACCTGTAGAGGTCAAATAGTTCACCACCTTTTCATGAGACTTACCACATTTTCCCAAACACATCCCTTTTCCTGAGTTGTATGACCTACACTGGCAAGATACAAATGGAACTCACCTTAACCTTTCATTCTCAGGGAGGAACTAATATGGTAACACTTGAGGCTTCAGTTGTTAAATTTGGAAGGAAATGGAGTGAATTATTTTATTTCATTATTTTTTTGTGTGTATGCTGGTACTGGGGCCTGAACTCAGGACCTAGGCACTGTCCCTTAGCTTTTTCCAAGGCTGGTGCTCTACCACTTGAGCCACAGCTACAATTCCAGCTTTTTGATGGTTAAGTGGGAATAAGAGTCTCATAAACTTTTCTTGCCTGGGCTGAACCACGATCCTCACTCAGATTTCAGATAGGATTATAGGTGTGAGCCACCAGTGCCCAACTGTACCTTTTGAAATGAGGTTTCCCTGAATTCTTTGGTAAGTGTTAAGTCCTGTGTGATAGAACCAAAGCCCAGAGATGGGAAAGGAGGTATTGAAAAATAACACTGTAACCCAAGCATTATGGCTAGACATAAATTTGATAGTTGAGGGCCTGCTTTTTGTAGGCTCTCACCACAAGTTCTATAGAAGTTTGTCCATGGTAAATATTTAAGTCCTAAGTGGATTTCCTTCTTAGTACCCAGCACTGTAGAAGAGTGCATGTTCACTGTCACATAAGCATGAGCCCGGGCAGCTCCATTAGATACTAAATGGGCTAGTAGAGATACTTACAATAATTTTTTAAAGAGAGAAACCCAAATAAAACTGGATTTTAGGTAATTTGTCAGTGTGGTTCTCCACAGAACTGGTTTGTAGAATTTTTATTGCTAATTATGAGTTGTCTAAAAATTCTCTAGGCAGTGACCTAAAGTATATTTTATTACACAGGGTCCAAAAAGCTCTCCTCTAGGTTTTGCCTACCTATCTTTTGTCCACATTTCCTTTTCCCTTTCTTTGTCTCAGAATTGGGACTTGAACTCAGGGCCTAGGTGCTATCCCTGAGTTTTTTTGCTCAGGGCTAGTGCTCTACCACTTGAGGTACAGCTCTACTTCCTGCTTTTTGCTGGTTAATTGTAAATAGTCTCACGGACTTTCCTATCCAGAATTGGCTTCCAACCAAATCCTCAGATCTCAGCTCCCAGAGTAGTTAGGATTACAGGTGTGACCCACTGGTGCTTGGCTCTCCCCATCGTTAATTATACTTTTTCCTCGCCCTTCAGTTTTTTCCTATATGCCATTTCTTCCACCTTCCCATTTTTTCTTCTTGCTCTTTCCCATGATCTCTCCCATGATCTCTTCACTCTGCTTACCATACCCGCTTCTCTTCATCCCCTTTGGTCCTCTATCTCCCCTCCTTCCACTTTTTATGCCTCCTTCCCTGCCCACAGTAGTCTACCCCCAAGCAGTTCCTCCACCCCCAAGCCAAAACTGGCTGCTGGTGGCTCCCGCTAGTCAGAATGGAGCGAGCCAGCTTTGGGAGTCTGGGGTCTTCCGATTGGCTGGCGCGACTAGCGTGCTAGTTGAAGTCCCGCCTCCAAGCAACGAACGCGCAGCTGCAGCAATCCTTATTGGCCAACAAGTGTGTCATTAGCCATTGTCAGCGCCTCACGCAGGCGCCCGCAGTCTCTGCGTGAATAAAAAGGCAGCCTACCCGCTGAGGTGGGGGGTGGGGAGAGGAGAGGAAGAGGGCTAGCGAGGAAGGGCTAGAAAGAGTGGTTGGCAGCCGGGAATCCCACGAAGAGAGCGAGCGGACTAGAGAATAGGGGAGACAGAGACTGACTGGTAGCCAGGCAGGCGGACGGACAAACGCACGCCGGGACAGACAGAAGGCGCCGGAGAACCTCTGATAGGTTCCCCCGCCTTTCCCTTTGCAAACCAGGATTTTGCTTTTTCTGTGGCGCCCGAGAGAGAATGCTGGACTCTGCGGTCTTCAGCGCAAGCTAAGATTTCTCAGCTAGGGAAGAAAGATCAGCCCAATCCTGAAAGGGGGGAAACAAGAGCCCCTGTCTTCAACCCCCCTCCCCCACCCTACCAAACTCGGGCGCCCAAACCCAAACCATCCCTAACCCCCTCCGACTTCCTCCTCTCCTTTCTAGCATGGTGGCTGTATGGACAGTCTGACAGAACAGAGACTGACATCTCCCAATCTGCCGGCCCCCCACCTGGAACACTACAGTGTTCTGCATTGCACCATGACCCTGGATGTGCAAACTGTAGTCGTTTTTGCTGTGATTGTAGTCCTCCTGCTTGTCAATGTCATACTCATGTTTTTCCTGGGAACTCGCTGAATGGAGTCCAGCCACCTGAGCTGTTACGAACTCTTGCTTTGATTTCATCCCGAGAGCCACCGAGAAAAAAAAAGAGGGGGGGGGAGAGAGAGAGAGACAGTCCGAGACAGGGAAAGAGAGGGAGAGAAAGAGCAAGCTTTCTCACTCAGGGGGCAAATCGTTTTGAGCTTCAACATGGCCTCGCTGTGATATGTATGACGTTGGTATATTACCTCTCCCTAAATCTTTTGTCATGTCTTGTCTTTTGAGTATGCCTGAGTGTGTAGTTGCTTATTGCTTGAGTGAAATTGTTGCTACTGAAATATTTTCTATTTAGGTATGCATGCGAGTGTGTGCATTCTTCATGTATGTGACGTTCATAGAGCAAGCTTGGCGTTCTTAAACAGTGGCTTCGCTCTTTGGTGTCTTATCAACTCATTTTGTTGAAAACTACGTTTAAACTTCATTTAGGGAATTTTAGTTAAATGTTTCTCTTGCCATCAGGAGTGCATTTGGGTTTGTTTGGGGGGATAGGGTGGGGGAAGGGGTTTGTGGAAGAGCATGATGAGTTTCCGCATCCTAAGAAAGACAATCTTGTGCATCTTTAGAGGTGAAAAATTGATGCGAGATACTGATTTGGGGGAAAATGATTCTTTGGTCTCAATTGAGAAGCAGAAATTTGGAAAGTGATGCGGTGGGTACCTTGAACTGGCACTTGGTGACAGTGTCCTTTGAATCTAATTTTGCTGTCCAGGGCTATCCAATTTGGAGTGAAGCCAACTTTAAAACATTTCTTCAAGTATGTCACTTTCTTTAGAATCATGAAATCGGAGCTGAAAGTATATACTGTGATCTTTGCTTTGGCTAGAGAGGATTTTGAGATGTTTGGGCTTCATTTCCCAGAAATTGTGTCCCTGAATTTTGAGTTTGAAGGCTTTTTTTCTGTGTCTCATCCAAAAAACCCAAAGCCAGTGTTTTGCCTTACTTAGGGAATAATAATGTTGGATATGGCTCCTTTGGGGTAATCTCGTTTACAATGATGTTCTTGAACTACCTTTTAAATAGAACTTGATAGCGCTAATGAGAAGAAAGCAGTGCTATTGTTTTCTTCTTATTTGATGCTTTAAAAGAAGAGATCTCTAATTGAAACATTCACAGAACTGAAAGTATGTAATATTCTAAATTAAGAGTTTTGAGCAGGGGGGGAGTCTATATAATGAGATAAGAGCTTAGAAAATATATAAACTGGAAGCAGCCTTCCAGTTTAAGTTGTCTGCAGTTTAAGTTGTCTGCTTGTCATATATGGTCATGGGTGGTGGTGTATCTTATTATTGCTATTGTTATTTTCAAATTTCAGTTTCTGTTGGAGAAAGCTCTTGGCAAAAACTAGGAAAAAATTATCTGTGATGCCAGTGTGCATAATACTTCCCCCCCCCTTGCTGATGTAGGCAGGTCTCCCTCATTCCATTGCTTACCTGACTTGAAATAGTGCCATTTCTGGCTCATGTAGCAATGAATCAGGGCGCATACACGCCCACACACATGCTCCTGCTACACTTATGTGGGCAGCTGCTCATGTGTGATGTGCAGATCTTTTAGCATTATGCTGTCAAGTTCTGTGTCCTGTTGTTCAATCTGTTTGGAAATGACTATGAAGGGAGATGGGCTGTGAAGGGGCCCTTGAAATTGTCCTAACCAACATGGACAGTATTATTTAATGGCGTCAGTCGATGTTTTGAACCTTAAATTGGGCTCTGGTTGACTTGGTGTGGGCGAGAAGCTGAGTCGCTCTCCCTCCCCCATTTGATAACATGGTAGAAGCATGATCTGGGAAGTTTGCTGGCATTGATTCTTGTTAATTATTCTTTAGTCCCTTTTTGAGGACTGCTGGAGGAGGTAGGGGGCAAGAATTGGTTCCTTTGCAATGAGAATCTAGTAAGGCTTTTAAAAAAATATGTTAGTTTCAGAGGCAGTATTTAAAGTAAGCTTGTGTCGTATCCAGGCACCTTGTTTTCACTCATAGTTGGAGAGTGAGAAAAAGCTCTGTGCTGGGCAGCTGCAGACTTGAGTTTTCTCCATTCAGCAGCTGTTTGACCTTGGGCAGTTTTTTCTTTTCTCAGTGCGTATGAGGTTCCTTATAACATTGACATTTTGAAATGGTCGTACCAGGTGACCTCCAAGTTTTTGCATTCTGTGATTTTGGGTATCCATAAGACTGGAAGTCAAAAGAGGGTGAACTGCAAAAACAAATGAAAAGGAAAATGAATTGTTAACCAAGGGGTGATAGACATGAAGAGGGGATAAGAATATCTATTTGTTGGTATCTGCAGAGTAAGTTTACCTGAGGGATTTCTGGTATAGCTGCATGGTAAGGAAATGAGAACTGCCACACTAGAAATCATTCTGCCATTTTTCACTCTAAGGGAAGGTCTCTAAGGTTGCTATGCTTTGACCTAGGTTTATGACTGTAGTGTCATGAAATTCCTTCTCTTCAGGGTGCCTGGAAAACTCTTTTCAGAAAGTCTTTGGGAATGTATATATGTAGGGTGATGGCAGTATGTTCGTGGGTGGTTATGGGTGGACACTCCTGAGCATGGATGGATGGGGCTTATGGTAAGAATAAGGAAAGACAGCATTGAGTTTCACAGTTCTGGATGGCCTTCTTGTTCTGGGGCTTGTGAGGATTTACATGGTGCTTGGGTGGATGACTGTCACCCATGCCAATCCTCCTCCCACTATCTAAAACCCTTCAGGCTAGAGGGATAGCGTGAATGAACCCTACATCAGTAATTTAGCTGATGAGGGTTCATATTTTCCCTATTCACTCATCTCTAGGCATTGAGGGGATGTTGCTAGACAGATGGCAGGCCACCCTAGAGTAGCCAGAAGGGTGTTTGGGGAATAGAGAACAAAAGGTGGCAGTGTGACTTTTTACTGTGTGAATCCTAAAGGTTTTGGCATTTCTCCTTGAGATGCAAAAAGAGAAAAAAGTGGGGGAAGGGGAGAGAGAGAATGAGAAATGCATCCCAGAGGAGTACAAGTCTGTGCATTTCAACATGTCTTCTTTTTTCCTCCCTCTCCTACCTTCTCTTTTAAATCTTTCCCCTTCTTCTTTTCCTCCCTCCCCAGACACTGCTTCCTCCTACGCCCCCATTGTAAGTAGGTGAGAAGTAAGGAAGAGGGCTTTTCTTCTCTGATTTGTTCCAACTTTTCCAGATAAAGCTTATTCCCTGCCCTCCTCTCTGATCCCTTTGAGTAGAAAATAAGCTTTTGCTACTAGGAGGGGGCAAAATCCCAGCTCAGGGATTCTGGTTCCCAGTTCCCCACCCAGGAAATTTTTTAAATGCCTTTCTACTGGTATCCTAGCAACCAGGGCATTACTCAGTACCCACTGAGCTCTAGGTCCCACCCTTTAAAGTACCAGGCACTACTGTTTGGATAAACTAGGGCTGGAGCACAGCAGGACTTGTAGAGGTGCTCTTGGGGAGAGGACAAAGAATGAAACCTCAAAAAAAGAATAAAACCCTCATTGCCTGCCAGTGCCTAGAAACTATATTCACAGCTGTCCAGCTGTGAAGACTGTTTTATCAGAATACTCATGAGTTCAAATTCCTCTCACCCAACTATCCTTTTCTTAAAATTAAGTAGTCCCTTTCACTAAATAGCTTCAGTGCATGCAGTGTGAAGGGCTTCAGAAATATTCTTTTCACCCTAAATGTTGGCTTCATCATAGAGAGAGAGATAAACGATAGCTCAGTGGGAACAAACTGAACAGTACATTTCTTCTCTTAAGACAGCCTCCATCTGTCAGAACCTGCAACATCTGCTTTTGCAGTTTGCTCCGATTTTGTTTGTAACTTGGGGGGGGAAACCTTGCTCTGCCTAGTTGTGATGGGGAATTTGGGAAGAGTTCTTGCTATGGTCATTAGTTTCTGAACTGGGGAGGGTTGGATAAATTGGGAAAGTTTGATTGTGGCCCTGATGAATAGTTTCACTCACTTGTATGTATGAGATTCAGCTTCTAGAGAGCTAAGGGATCCCAACAGATCTGTTGGTGAGGTGCTCTACTGCCTGCGGTGAGTCAATATGCACAGCGTTGAATGTCACATTTAGAGGTCATATGAATCACAGGGATGGTGCCAAAGTATGTGTTTACATGAAAATCAAGCCTTTTCTTCCAAACTAACTGCCTCCTCAGAAGACCTCCCACAAGGCATCTGGCTTTATTGCAAGAAATGGGGCTAGAGGAAGTGAATTTTAGACGGTGTAGTCCTTATTTCCAGCTTTGCAACTTGTCTGGGCCAACTGAGTCTCTGGCTTTCCAAGAATCTTTTATTAAAGCTTAGTCTTTCAATATGTCCCCAGAGTGTATCCTTGCTGTCCATAGGTGGATCTATTTAGTTTATTTTATGCTTGCCCTGGGACCATAGTCAAAATGGAAAAAACTGAGAGGGAGAAAGGACCTCCATGAGAGAAAAGGCTTGGGAAACAGTACAGTAATGGCTGTATTAACAACCCTTTGTCAGCACATGGGCCTGTGAATTTTACAAAGTAATTTTACATCCTTTTTAATTTGTGCATCTCATCAGCCACACCAAGTGGTTATTCCCAGTTTTATAGATGAGGAAAGAAAAGCTGAGATGTTGGGATGAGAGTGGGTCTGCTTCTCCAACAGGGAGGTAAGTGGGGGAGTCAGAGTTGGTCATGCCCAGCTAGTGTGAAGCTACATGGGGTCAGATGGTGAGGGAGGTGTCTGTGAGTCATCCCTTAAGTCAAATTAGCTTCCTCGGCTTTACATGCTTACATTTTTAGTGCTTTTTAAATATATCTTATTTGTATAGCACTTTTGAGCAGAGTTCTTTAGTCCATAAAAGGCTCCTTTTTTGTGTTGAATATAGATGAGTTTGCTTTAATCAGTCTTGAGAAAAAAGTTGTTATTTGAGATTTTCAAGGTAAAAAAGTCAGTGTGATTTGTTGAAGCCTAAAATACAGAATGTATCAGAGGAACTGCTGGGGTTTTTTTGTGTGATGTGTGTGTGTGTGTGTGTGTGTGTGTGTGTGTGTGTGTGCGTGCGTGCGTGCACGCGTGCGTGCGTGCACTTGCACACATGCACGTGCACATACACATGCAGGTACTGATGCTTGAACTCGTGGCCTTCAGCTCTTGCTTGGCTTTTTCTGTTTGGGCCTGATGCTTTGTCACTTGAGTCACACCTCCACTAGT